AAATCCTCATGCTACACATCTGCCTGGGCGACCTGGACGCGTGAAACCAAGCGTCTCGCTGGACACATCCTCAAGATCTGGGCACGTGAAAACAAGCATTTCACTTGAGAAATCATTCGAAGTCTGGCCCCCAGGAGAGTACACTCTATAACACAAAACAAGCGTTTCGCTCGAGACATCCTCGACGATCTCTCCAAAGCAAGCGTGTCGCTCGGGACATCCTCAAGGTTAATTTGCTGGCACTACTCAACCTCGTTATTTATCGCGGATTAAATTCGCTGGCCCTACCGCCGTCGAGGTCGGGGGGAGGAAACAGCTAAAAGATAACTCCCTGGGCTGGAGCCCTTTCTGGGAAAAATGGATACCAGGTTGCGCGCCTCCAGCGAGAAGCCCGCGATGGCATGGGGAGCGATTGAAGAGAAAAGGAGCAAAGAGGGAATCGAATAAGTGGGGGGTGAGCGGTGATAGCCGGAATTATCATGTCAGGCCCGGTATCATCGTTTCTTGCAGAAACCATTGCTCTGGACGAGGCGGTCCAAGCTTTGGACACACTATTTCTTATCCTTTCGAGCGCGGCCGTCACATTAGTGATTTGGGCTCTGGAAATAAAGAAACAAAGAATGATATAGAGAGAGAGAGAGTAATGGAATGGGTCGTCGCTCAGTAAAACATGATCGGCCCAAGAACCCGGAAAGGAATATAGAAACGTAAGGCATGGCAACGTTTGCAAAACACCTGATTGGGCGACGGGCAGTTGCAATGCTGAATGTATCGATCTTGATGTACCGTGCCGAGGGCTGTGCTGTGCTGCGCCGTGCTGAATTGCGATGTGCCATGCCGCGATTGTGCCCTGTAGCGTTGTAGATCGAGTCCCCCTTTGCATCCGAGTCCTGATCAAACTGATATGGATCTGAAGCTCGAGCTGCCTGAGCACATAATAGCTGCCACAAAGCTGATCGACAGGGGGACATGCCAGGGGGACGCGCCGCGGAACGTCCCAAGGGACGCGCCTTGGGCCGTGCCAGGGGACGTGCCACGGGGACGCACCGCGGGACGTGCCAAGGGGACGCGCTACGGCACGTGCCAATGGACGTGCCACGGGACGCGCCAGGGGACGCGCCACGCGACGTGCTAGGGGGACTCGCCACAGGACGCGCCACGGAACGTGCCAGGGAACGTGCCAGGCGACGCGCCAGGGAACGTGCCAGGGAACGCGTCCAGGGAACGTGCCGCGGGACGACCCTGACCCAGGGCCCGGATCCACCGTAAATTACGATGCGTCCGCGCTCACAGGGCCACGATCCACTGTAAACGCCGCCCACTGACCCGGATCAATCAAAACCCGGGTCGGTCGGGCTCTGCAGGATCCTGCAGGAGCCTGCAAGATCCTGCACCCAAACCTGGGCCAGTCCGCCCCTGGCCCTGCAGGAGATCCTGCAAAATCTGGCGCAATGACTGACACCCGTTTGTATTGACCCCCGTCTCTCGGCGACGCGCAAACATGGATTAGCCATCCGTGGATTTGGCGCGCGGTCGCCAAATCCATGGATCCGAGGAGGTGCCCTCCCCAAAATGCGGCCAAAGCCGCCTCGTTCGGCGGCGAAAATCAGCGATGTCCCATGGAAACGGAACTCGTCGCGAATCCACGCCCCCTTACGTCGACCTGTGACACCGCTAGGTCCCCCGCTTGTGCCGCAGCGCAGCTCGCTCCTGTGCGCGCTTGTGCGGAATTTAGTCCGCTGCTCGTTGGCCGCGCTTCTCGACGGCGCCCGGCTTTCTCCTGCGCGCTCGCGAACGAAAAAAAATCTACGCCCCCTTGATCCATGTGTACGATCGCCTGAGCCTCTTGGGCCCCCCTCGAAGACCCGTCCCCTCTCCCCGGGCGCCCGCCCGCCCCCACCCCCCGCCCCCACAGCGGCGCCCCGCAGAGCATTTCCGAGAGGGCCGTGGCCCCGCGGCCCCACGACGACCCCAAGAGGCCCCCGAGACAGAGAGCCCCAGGGTCGGTGCGATGCATGGGGCCCCACGGCGGCCCAAGGGGGCCCCAAGACAGCCCAGGAGCACCCCGAGGGACCCCCAAGACTGCCCCACGGGAGCCCAAGACGGTCCCAGGGCGGCCCAAATAGGTCCACGCGAGAGCTCCTCCAGGAGTCGGCACGGAAAAGGCGCCACATGTGACGGGCTTCTGGACGGGCTGGAAGGTTCGCCCCACGGATTGCCGCGCTGGCGCGGTGGCAGATCTGCCGCAGACACCTGCATGGAGACGAAAAGGTGTGACGTGAAACAGCCTTCTGAGCGTCGCGCTGCTGGAGGCCTCCTAGATGGGGTCCGAGTAGACGGGATCGAAGGATCGCGCCGCATCGCCAATACATCGCCGATGCATCGCCGATGCATCGCCGATGCATCGGCGCTGCATCGGCGACGTCGGCGTGGGGGAACACGGGCTCCACATCGAGCCGCATCGGCGATGCATCGGCGACGCGGCGCGATCCTGCGATCCCATCCACTCGGACCCCGCCCAGGAGGCCCAGAGCTGCGCTATCATAGGCGGCAGAACTTGCCGCAGGCAGCCAGACTCTGGACGGAGACACGGCGGCACGCCAGCGGCGCACCGGCACCACCCGGGCCCAGGAGCGGAGCCCGCCCAACCCGGGCTCGGCCCAGGGAGGCACCAGCACACCACGCAGCCGGGCCCAGGACCGGCCTGGTCCGTGCATCGGCCGGGAGTCAGGAGGTGGAGCTCTGCAGGGGCCCGACCACAAGAAACCTGCCACAGGAAAGCCAACCCCGAGACCCCCGGACGTCCGCCGATGCCTGGTGTGGGAACGTCACGCGTTCCATCGCAAGACCATCGAAGCACAGGAAACCCAGGGCACCCTGGAGGCAAGCAGGATGTTTCTTGGCATGGGTCTCCACTGTGGTACGTGGGGCCCTAGGGCGAGGAGGCCTACGAAAGTACAAACTCAACATGGGGGCCCTTCCCTGTCCGCAGCTGCGGCAATGTCGTGGCGTGACGACCCCGGCGCTTGTTGCTGGCAACGCGTCGGTCGCTCCACCTTGAACGGTCGGCGGCCTCTCGATCGCCAGATCGACCCGCGTACTGGCCCACTCTGGGCCACTGGCTAGGAAAAGGAACGGCTGCACAGACATGAACCTCTCGCAACTCCCCCCAGATTTCTTGGATCGGCGCTGGACACCACTCTCGGGCGCGCGGAGCGCGCCAGGCGGGGCCCACCCAACTCCGAGAAATCCCAGCGGACCTCCCAAGAGGTTTGAATTCTCATGAACGGCGGGGAAAAGAACGGGGACCACGACCAAGACTGAACGCGGAAACGTCGTGCCGATCTTGGTCGCCGTCCATCTTGGTCACCGCCATTTCGTGGATCGTCCTCAGGAATCGGCGGCGGCCGACATGGACTATGGCCAAGATCGACCTCGACAAAATACCACGACATCTTGGTCATGGTCCTGGTGTTTCTTCCCTCGTGTCAGCGCCCGCGGCGGGGTCACCGCCGCGTCGACACGGCACGACGCTGCCGCGCCTCGCAAGGCATGCCAATCCCGCAATTGCCCCGACCTGCGCCGTGTGCAGAGAGCACTACCGCCGCCCTCAGGAGTAACTACGGTGCGACTGGATCCCAAGCATGCGAGGTAAGGATGCGAGGCATTTGCTCAGATCGCCGCTGGCGTTGCTAAAAGGACTGGGGTCTTCAAAGCGGACGCTAAGGCGAGTGAGATCTGGCCCAACCTAGCTTATAAGCGGGTTGCAAGTGCCCTCAATGGTTCAGGGGGGTAACGATCGGGGCTAAGTGGGATCCTCCCACTTAGCGGCATTATCTAATCCCCCTGCGTGAGTCTCTGAGGGTAACTGTAACTCACTGAAAAGCTAGGTCTGGCCAAATATAACCCACCTTGACATCCCGTTCTGAGCCCACTGTCCCCTCCCGCGTCATCCCAGTGGACGCCCAAATGGGAGTCGAAAAAACAAAGCCCATGGCCCCGTTGGTACTGCCCGCGGTAACGCCCGTCTTCGCCCCCGCCCGCCCCCTCCCCGGGTCACATCACGACTCGCGCCGACGCAGTTTGGGAATTAGCTGCTCTCACTGTTCTCAAGCACCAGACGGCGCTGGCGCGAATCATGACGTAACTGGCTCCCTCCCGAAGACGAAATCAGGACGAGGACAAACTTGGATGAGGAGTAATCGAGAATCTCTGAGATCCTGCGGCTCTGGAAGATGTCTCGGGCGCCGCGGCCTCCTCAGAGCGTCCCGGAAAGCCCTGAGAGCGATCCGGAATGCCCCACCGACTACACGCAAGAGTGACCCTGGGCAAGAGTGACCTTCAGTGCGCGGCTTCAGGGGACCGCGAAGGGCCCAAATCCAAGCGCGCGGGCCAGTGCTAGGGCCACCCCCGCGAGCCTGCACCCAAGGTCACTCCTGCGAAAGGTCTCCCTTACGGTGAGTAAGGCTGGGGGTCAGGTCTGCAGAACACCTCAAACGGACGTCAAGAGGCGCAACCAACCTGTTCGGTCAAGCTTAAACTGATGCACGACACCCCGGCGTCAAGCCAAAATTTTGGGCATAACCGAATGGCTGGATTGTGCGCATCTACATCGGCTTACCGGCGAGGCGTTTGACCACCTTGACGTCCCTGTTTTGGTGGCCCTGTTCAGAGGAAGGCGCTCTCTGACCCTCGGCCCTACTCAAGTCTTACGCGCAGCCGATACGAACCCCGCCCCACTTCCATCCCCCCCGGGCCACGCCCGTTGACGTCAGCTAGGAGAACTCCAAACAATACACCACCACCAGCCCTGGCCAGGCCCATCCTGGGCCCTGGACTGGTGTACAGGCCCTCCAGGCCTGGGCCAGGAGGGCCTGTACGCCACTGGAGGGCCCAGGATGGGCCTGGCCGGGGCTGGTGGTGGTGTACTGTTGGCGTCCCTCCGAGTCAGTGGATGTGCTTCCCGCCCAGGCGCTCGCAGGGCCCCCGCCCCATGGGGCCCCGAGGCGCACGCCCAGGGCAAGGCCCAGCAGCCGCAGGCCGGCCTGCAGCCTCCGAAGGGGAGCGGGGGGCGGGGGGGGGAGGGGGAGCACTGCGGGGAGGGGGGCTCTCCTCGATCCTCCTCCTCCTCCTCCTCCTCCTCCTCCTCCTCCTCCTCCTCCTCCTCCTCCTCCTCCTCCTGCTCCTCTTGCTCCTCCACCTCTTGCTCCTCTTGCTCCTCATGCTCCTCCTCCTGCTCCTCCTCCTGCTCCTGCTCCTCCTCCTCCTCCTCCTCCTCCTCCTCCTCCCTCCTCCTCCTCCTGTTCCTCCTCCTGCTCCTCCTCCTCCTCCTCCTGCTCCTCTTGCTCCTCCACCTCCAGCTCCTCCTGCTCCTCTCCTCCTGCTCCTCCTCCTCCTCCTCCTCCTCCTCCTCCTCCTCCTCCTCCTCCTCCTCCTCCTCCTCCTCCTGTCCTCCTCCCTCCTGCTCCTCCTCCTCTCCTCCTCCTCCACCTCCTCCTCCCTCCTCCTCCTCCTCCTCCTCCTCCTCCTCCTCCTCCTCCTCCTCCTCCTCCTCCTCCTCCTCCTCCTCCTCCTCCTCCCCCTCCTTTTCCTCCTCTTCCTCCTCCTCATCATCATCCTCCTCCTCTTCCTCCTCCTCCTCCTCCGCCTCCTCCTCCGTTTCCTCCTCCTTGTTTTTCTTAGTATCATCAATGTTCGCGCTCGTACTATGAGTATTCATATTCGCATTAGTATTCGCATTGTGACTAGTATTAGTAGCACTAGTGTTAACAGTAGTATTGTGCGCGTGCATGATAGTATTCGCATTCGTGGTATACTATAACCGCAATCAATATTAATAGTGATGATGTTCACGTTATTACCATGTTATGTGTATTATGTATGTTATGTGTCTTAGTTGTATGTATACAATTCGTCGGATTGTTTGATTTCTCTTGATAATAGTTTGCGTATGCGTATCACGAGCAGGTTGGTTCACCGTATGTCCCGTATTCGTAATTAGTACCATTGAGACGATTATGTAACGTAGTACTACTTACCGTATTACTGATAATCTTAGTTTTCTTGATCATCTCAATCTCCGTAGTATGAACCATATGCGTTTGCATCTGAGTATCATCCTACACATTCGGTGTACAATTCGTATCAGTATGTTTCTTAATATTAATAGTATAACTAGTAGTACGCTGATGTTCGATTTGTATTGTTACTATAATCGTTGTTGTACATGCTATTAGTATGCTGTTCGTTGATGTTTGTGTTACTGCTTGTTTTATTGTGTTTAGAAGTACTGCATATTCACATTATTGTTATTCGCATGTTTGCTAGTCGTACGAATCGTATTATTATGATGGTTATTCGTAGCATTAGTGTTGCTATCAATGTTAAAAATCATCATTCTTCTCCTTGGCCAACGAGGCCTCCAAGATGCTTCCAAAGGGCCCCAAGGAAACTTCCAGGAGGCCCCGAGAGTGCCCCCAGAGGTTCCCAAGATGCCTCGTCCTCTTTCCCCTCCTCCTTCTCCTCTTCCTCCTCATCCTTTTCCTCTTCCTCCTCCGGATCTTCCCCGCCATCGTCCCCCAAGTGTTCCCCGAAGGGTTTCCACAACGGCCGGGGGAAGACATGGTCCTATATTTTGGCAGAGCTCTTGCCACAACGCTCGATTCCACAACGCAAGGGGCGGCGGTGATTCGCCGTAGGCATCTTCGATAAATACACACACATATACACGCATGCATACATGCATGGATCCATACATGATCCCGAGTTTCGGGCCCACAGGCCCCACCCCCTGCGGGATGGGATGGGTCTGAAGGCCCCTCGGGCCCTCCCATCCACCCTGAGATGAGACGGGGTGGCACCGACGACGACAACGACGACAACGACGACGACGAAGACACCGTCCGCTCCGGCCCCCTGAAGCACCGCAACACCACGCAACACCCAGAGGGAAGCGACGACGGAGCAAACACCGTCGACGACGACGTTGCTTCTCCCCCTCCTCCATCCGTCCCCTCATCCCTCCCTCCTCGTTCCTTGGCCCTCTCTTCCCTACCTTGCTCCCTCTACCAATGTATCCGCCATTCTCCGGAGACATAGGCAGTTATCCGTCGTGCCGAAGACGCAATCGTTCCGCCCTGGCTTTGATCCTGCGGGTACACGCCAGATTGAGCGCGCAATTGACTTCATCGGAAGAGGCCAGCCCAAACTGTTTACGGCTGTTATGCACAATTACACATTGGCACTTTCCCTCCGCCAAGAGTAGCAGTTTTACGTCATGCCTAGGACGGCGATGCATGTACCGATGCCGATGCCGATGCCGATGCCAACGCCGATGTCGTCGCCGTCGTCCTGACCCTTTTCCTCCTCCTCCTCCTCGTCCTCCTCCTCCTCGTCCTCGTCCTCGTGCTCGTCCTCCTCGTTCTCCTCTTCCCTCCTCCTCCTCCTCCTCCTCCTCCTCCTCCTCCTCCTCCTCCTCCTCCTCCTCCTCCTCCCCCTCCTCCTCCTCCCCCTCGTCCTCCTCCTCCGCTTCCTCCTCCTCCTGTTCCTCCTCCTGTTCCTCCTGCTCTTTCTCCTCCTCCTCCTGCTCCTCCTGTTCCTCCTGCTCCTGCTCCTCTCCTCCTCCTCGTCCTCCTTTTCCTTCTCCCCCTCCTTTTCCTCCTCGTCCTCCTCCTCATAGTATTCTTAGTATCACTAGTATTCGTGTTAGTAGTATCAGTATTCGCCTTCATGTTGTTAGTGTTGGCGTATGATTCGCGTTCGCATTACAAGTCTTATAGTTAATACTATTAATAATGGCGGTAGTAGTGTTAATGTTAGCTGATATGTCTTATCACTTGAATGCTTATTATTATTCGTATTATTATTCTCATTCGTCGGTGTGCTTGCTTACTCTGATTCTATCCTCCGTCGTAACATTAGTGTTGCTAGGAAGGCGATGCATGTACCGATGCCGATGCCGATTTCGACGCTGATGTCGTCGTCGTCGACCTGACACTTCCTCCTCCTGCACACCTCCTCCTCGTCCTCGCCGTCGTCCTCGTCCTCGTTCCTGGTGTCCTCGTCGGGGGGGGGGCGACCCCATACCCACCACCGCACGCCAACACGCCGATCGCGCACGCCGATGGCATCAGCACGAGGGGGGGCCGGACCCTGGATCATACATACATGCATGCATACACGCGGGCATGCATTCGTACATACATACAGAAATACGCACGTCCATGCACACCTAGACTTTTGCGGGCATGCGCCTACACGGGGGTGCTATACTTTTGACCATGAGACATTAAAGCTTTGGACACCCCCGACCCCCCGTATAATCTTAGCGACAGCTTTTTGGTCAAGGAGCGGTCCGAATCCGATGGGCTCGTATCCAGTAACAATACCATATATATATATAGATATATGTATACAAACCTACATATATATAACTATACATATCTAAAACGTGTGATAATTACTCCGTCCCATAAAAAAAAAGGCCCGGATATCACTCCAGCTTGGACCCACTCACAGCTCAATCACTCCGCATGGGTCACTTGAGATTGTCAGGGTCATCTTCGTCATCGCCGATGTCATGCCTTCACAACGCGATGCTGCTTTGACGCGGCGTGGCCCTGGGTATCCTTATCCAACGCTGTCGCTCTTGCTTCGCTGGCCAGCCATTCCAGAGAGTTCACGGAGGCTCGCGACTCCGCATCAGGACACCTCCGCGACACGCGGGACCAGCTGTGCAATTCTCCGCCGATGATAAAAACAACTCGAGCACCTGGCAAGTATTATGGATGTGTACATAGATGTGCATACATGTGTATATGCGTGTGCTTCTGTGCACAGATGTGTGTGGATATGTACAGATGCGTACAAATATACATATATATATATATATATACATGTGTGAAAGAGAGAGAGAGAGAGAGACAGACAGACAGACAGACAGAGAGAGAGAGAGAGCGTGATCCACCGCCGCTTTACTGTGGAAAATGCCCCCCCGTCTTCCTCTGGAGCCCGGGGGTCCCACCACCACCCCATCCGAAAATACCCCCCCTGCTCGAACCCCCCACCCTCCCCCCCCCCTTTCCCCCGGCAAACCCGCCCCCCTAACCCCTCGCCAGCCCCACCCCCTTCTCTAGAAAACCGAGGGGGGGTCACTACCCGTCGGCCGACCCGAGAAGCGGACGCCAAGGCCGACGCGCCAGACCGACGGCCGACGGCGCCCGCGGAGCCGCCGAGCTCAGAGGCCTCCCACATGTAACATTGGATATGCCAACCCGTATCCCAGGCATTGGGTGGTTTTCGAATGGACCAGAAAGTTGGGGCCCCAAGCCTGGGATATACGGGTGGCCCCCAAAACTCGATGGGCGTGCGGCCGAGTAGCCCCCTGGAGATGTATCCCAAGGTTCCCCTCCTTTTCTGGGCGGCCTCACTACCCGCCGAAAAAAGCCGGGGGGGGGGGGGGAAAAGAAATCGCCTGCGAAAATGGGTCCGAGCAGGTGGGACTGGAGCATCGCGCTGCATCGGCAGTGCACCGCCGACGCCGCCGACGTCGGCGCGGAGAGAAGCCCGGCTCCGCGTCGAGCCGCACCGCCGATGCGCCGGGGCGACGCGGCGCCTCTCGTAGACGCACCGGCCCCATCTGCTCTGACCCCGTGTGGGAGGGGCCCGGGCTTAGGTCGGGCACGTCCCCCTACGGGCGGATTTTGGGGCGAGCAATTGAAAATATCAACAACAACAACAACAAAAAGTCACCCTCCCCCCAAAAAACACGTTCCCCGACTGTTCTGTTGACTATTTTTGAAGATTCCTCCTGTAGAGGGACATGCCCGACGTAAGCTCAGACCGGGGGCCACGTCCCCGTCGCTGCCCCCGTCGCCCCGCCCCTGGGGGCGTGCAGGGACGGGCCCAGGCAGGGCTGGGCTGCAGCGACGAGAATCTCCGAGACGCGTTCGCAGGCAGAGATGATGGAGCACACCTTAGGACAGCTCGAAACAGTACACCACCACCAGTCAGTCCTGGCCAGGCCCATCCTTGGCCCTGAACTGGTGTACAGGCCCTCCAGGCCTAGGCCTGGAGGTCTGTGCACCAGTCCAGGGCCCAGGATGGACCTGGCCAGGACGGGTGGTGGTGGTGGTGTATTGTTGGCGTCCCTCCGACACCTGGCCGACTTGGGCACAGTGAGCAGCGGGAGAGAGAGGCGCGCGGGAAAGGGAGAGGAGGAGCACGCTCAGAGCATGCGGTCCTTCAGCCTTCAGCGTGGGCGCCGGAGTCCTTGCGGACGCACCCCCGCACCCCAGCATGCAGCATCTCGATGTTCTCGATGCGCAGTCCACGGAAGTCACGACCCTTTCCTCAGGGCCAGTTTTTCATCCTGCGTCGTTTATTCACGGCCCCGAGGCCTGGCAAGGGCCCCCAGGGGCCGAAGACTACCAAAAAACTTCCGTCGTGATACTGGGCGGTGCATCGCCGATGCATCGGTGATGCGGCGCAATCCTTCGACCCCATCTACCTCGACCCCATGTGGGAGGCCAGGACTAGGGGAACCAGAGAAGGCATTCACATAGTTGCCGAGTTCCGCGCGGATTGGGGGGTCAGCGCTGGACCCCCCTCCTCGGCGCGCGGAGAGCGCCAGGGGCAACGCCCGAGGCGCCGCCCGAGGGGCCCAACACCGATCCAAGACATCCGCGCAGACCTCGACGAGGAGAGCGCGGCGCAGAACCAAATCATTCCGTGGAGGTGTGGGCGGTGGGACGAAGAGAAAAACTGCGAGTTCGTGCCGTGACGCCATCGGAATTGTTCCTTGACACCGCAGGGATCGTTCAACCGTGAACAATCGGCAAGTGTCGGAAACGTCAGATTGTTGAACATCGACCGATTCTGGGTCGCTAGCGGCGTTCCAAATGAGCGCTGGCGGCGCGTCGCCGCCAGTCGACACGGCACGAAACTAGCGTAAAAGGGTGATCCTTCTGTTGAGCAGGGACCGACCGTCCCGGCATTCCTACAGGCCTACCACGACATAAACGATATTCTTAGCCCTTAGGCCCGATGTGTGAAAACAAGACGGCCCCTGCCAGAAATGTTCTAAGAACATTTTGTGCAGACCACTAAAGGTTATTAGAACATTTGTTGTGGGCATGTAGGCAAGCTGGGACGCTTCGCTACTACTCGACTCTCATCCGACCCGAGACGCGGACGACAACGCAGTCGAAGCCGACCAACGGCCGACGGCGCCCCCGGAGCCGCCGCCGAGCGCTGGCGCCACGCGCGACGAGGAGAGTCTGGCGCAGCGCCGACTCCCGTCGGGATGCCGCCGCCGCGAGGGCCACGGCGCGGCGCGGGCGGCCCTCCGTCAGGTCGTCTTGCCCTCCGCGTCGCCAGTCCGCCTCGGCGGCGCCGGTCCGCCGCCGCCGAGGCTCGAGGCTCCTCGATCCTCGTTGACCTCCTCGATCCTCCTCGATCCTCATCGATCCTCCTCCTCGATCCTCATTCTTCTCCTCCTCCTCCTCCTCCTCCTCCTCCTCCTCCTCCTCCTCCTCCTCCTCCTCCTCCGCTCCTCCTCTCCTCCTCCTCCTCCGCTCCTCCTCCTCTGCGCCCTCCTCCTCATCCTCGGCTCCTCCTGCCTGCTCCTCCTCAATCGTCCTCATCATTATCGATCTCCTCGACCCTTCGACCCCCTCCTGCGCCTCGTCACTCGTCCTCCTCCTCCCCGTCCTCCTCTCCTCCTCTCCTCCTCCTCCTCCTCCTCCTCCTCCCTCCTCCTCCTCCCGTCCTCCTCTTCCTCCTCCTCTCCTCCTCCTCCTCCTCCTTCGTCCTCGTCCTCCTCGTCCTCCTCCTGCCTCCTCCTCCTCCTCCTCCTCCTCCTCCTCCTCCTCCTCCCCGCCCCGTCCCTCGTCTCGTCCTCCTCGTCCTCCCTCCCCTCCTCCTCCTCCTCCTCCTCCTACCTCCTCCTCCTCCTCCTCCTCCTCCTCCTCCTCATCGTCCTCATCTCGTCGATCCACTCGGACCCTCCCGCGCCTCCTCCTAGTCCTCCTCCTCCTCCTCCTCATCCTCCTCTTCTTCCTCCTATTCCTCCTCCTCCTCCTCCTCCTCCTCCTCCTCCTCCTCCTCCTCCTC